TCTGAGAACACAAAGCAGGAAATGAGCATAACAGTTCCCCTTTAATTATGTGTTATTATGCGTTCGCTTTATATTCGAGCTGTTTCTACACAATTGACCGTTAGCGAGGCCCTATCACCTTAGTTACCGTTGCTATGCCTGTCAAACTGTTAATTCCCACGTACATACACCAACACGTAGATGCAGTTTATAAAGTGACAGATTCACACAGTGCTGCCTCTGAGTTTGACTTTAATTAGCAGAAACACTGCGGAGGCTCGGTTTATTATTTGAATATCAAATTAATCAAATTTTTTGAGGCCTTAGTATGTTTCAATTTCAATTCAGTGGTAACGAAACTTTATGTATTCTGTTGGTCCCTGTAAATCAGCCCCCAATGGACGTACAACCGACATGTATGAAGACTGGTACACACGTGTATCATCATCAGACAAGCAAAAAAGCCTCTTGGACCCAAACACCAAACCCAACAGGAAGTCAGCCATTTTAAATTTAATGGTCTTTTTTTTTTCGTGTTGTCTTTGAGTGACTTCTCAAAGGGAATTTATCGGATCGACTTTAAATTTGGTTATTGATCTCTAAAAACATTAATGATTTAAAGTTGTGCTATTTATGACTGTACGTCGAACGGCGTGCCCGTAACTTCTGTGTACGTGATCCGATCTCAATGAAATTTCAAATGTTTGATAAGAGTCCCGCCCTGAACACGTCTACATGACAATATTCAGTCATAGTGATCTGATTTACACATGATACGCTGGTGGCATGACGAGTGCGAGGGTCCGTTCATCGCTGCTTGCAGCTTTAATTTTTATTACACAATGTGTAATTTCTATGTAGTCAAGTAAGCAATAATAAATGAGCAGCATCCAGTCTGACTTCAAAAATAAGGCTTGCGTGGTTAACATGATACAGTCGCAGTTTGGTCATGTTTAGGCACAAAAACCATTTACCTTAAAACTTTTAATAACAGCCCCTGCGTTTATTTGCCCCCGCCTTTATTGGAGAGTTTACGGTAAATTTATAAAATAACTCTGATTCATTACGTTAAATAACTTAAGTACATTATGTAAGTTTATTTACATACATTAATTCAAAGACATCGGTCTCCTGGGGTAACCGAACTTACATAACGGACCTGACCGAATTTATACATTACATACGTTTACAGACGTCCAGTAAATCCTGGTGGTTAACGCCAGTTTGGTAAATCCTGGTGGTGTTTAGGAAGAGTTAAAATTATGTTAGAAACCTGATGTTACTTTGAAGAAATTGTTCACTTCTGGTTTCACACAGGACACAGACAGCGTGGTTAAAGGGCGGGGCTCAGGTTCATCAAAATCAATAGTTTATAATAATCCCAGATATTCCTGCTGTAATCTGAAGACTCAGTTACAGAGGATTCCTGCTCTGTGTCTGCACCAACAAACACTCAGACGTCTCCTCTTCGCTCTCTTCTTCATCTTCATCCACAAATATTATTATTTACCGCCCCTCGCCGTCTCATTCACTCGTACAGCCGATGAACCAGGGCTTTAAAGCCTCATGCTCGGCTGTAAATCGCTGCCAGCGAGTGTCGGCTGTTCGCCACCGATGGAAAATGAGATTGAAGACAGTTAATTGAGTTGAGGCTGCGATTAGCCTCGGAGCTGCTGCGGTGAACTGCGGTGGCGGTTTGGTATCAGCGGGGTCCCGCCAGCTCTGTTTGCTAGCTGACATGATAGCACTTCCTGCAGGAAAGACCCTAATTAATTGTTATCATCATTTGTTTGTTTGTGCCTGAAGCCAGAACTCGTTTCCTGTCTCAGCTCGCCATCACGTCTCTTTCTGCCCAGTTTTCTGTCACTCACATTATATTCTTTCATTTCTGTCTCGGCTGTTTTCATCTCTTCTCTCTCAGTTTCCTTCACTTTGTTTCTGTGATTGTTGGCAAGCAGCAGGTTGTTTTTACATGTTTATTTTGGAGGTACAGTCGCAAGAACTGCCTCTTCTGGCTTCTGAAAAAGTCAATTAGTTTGCAAACTTTGAGGAACTTGGGTTAAATACTGAATAAAAAACTGTGATGGAACAGATTTTATCTTCTTGAAAACTCAATATCTTTGTATTTTTATATAAAAAATACAATAAATTTGTTTTCCTGTGAAACAAAATGATGTAATACGTAAGCATGAACTAACTGATTTCAACCAAAGTGAAGAGACTGCAGATTAAATTCAATCATCATTCAAAATCATTCAAATACTTTCAGCAACACTCAAGAAAAAGTAACATTTTCCGATAAATATTCTGAAACAGAAGCTTTATTTAGCTAACTGCTAATGTAGTTGTCGTTATCGTTTCCTGATGGAGTTGTTGCTAAAAGAAGCTAACTGTCGCTAACAGTAATGTTAGATTAACGTTAGCTGACGTTAACGAGTCTTCATGACAAATGCACCGGATAAAAAAAGAGATTATTTGGCTGTAATATCCTAAAAAAATCCCATTTTCTACATTTTTATTTCTTTTTATTGGTAAAAAGATTAATAATCTCTGACAGGATGCAGTGGTAGTGCTGGGGCATCTGGGTAACGTAGTTAAATCTGTGAGAGCAGTCAGGACATGATTACCTCGTAGTTATTGTATTTATTATCATAATGATTCTATTAATTATCTCACACTGATGGCCTTTTATGTATTACCCTGTTTTATGTGCAGTATTTAAGGTTCTGTGGTTGTTGTTGTTTTTTGCCCCCGGGGGAACAACAGATGCAGATTAGCCGTTAGCTAACGCCGGTGCTGTTAGTTTTAATAGTGTGCTGCAAAAATAAAGAAATAAAATAAATCCAGAGTACATCTGGCTCTTAAATTACAACTTGGAAAATTATTTCTGCCAATTTTTTTTGCACGATTAGGACGTCTTCATGCTCTGAGCAGAGTTCCGATAATAATCAGTATTATAACTGTCAGTCTTTTAGCTTTAAAAATCATCATTATCGTCTCCATCTGGATCACTTATAACAGAAACTCTCTCTCCGCCACTCCTCCTCCTCTTCTTTTATCTCTCACTCTTCATCTCCGCCACCGAGCTTCGTCCCGATCGACTCGAGCCAGTTTAAATTCCATTTGGGAATCTCATTTAAATTCATGTGGGACGCCTCATTGGCAGGGCGGCGGTAAACATTTAGCAAGGGGCGGGTTAAACAAATGAAGAGCGTGTTGGTGTTGTCGGTGGCGGAGGAAGAGGAGGGAGGAAGAGGAGGGAGGGAGTTAGAGGAACATAACTCAACTGTCCACACGGAGATGAAAAGATGAAGCAGTTGCATGATGGGATTGAACAGTGGTAGATGTCTGTCGGGGCTCAGCGCCTGCTGTGTTGTTCCTGTGAGAAGTTGAATGCAAAACACACACACACACAAACACACACACAAACACTCACGTCGACACTAATGAAAAAATCTCGCCTCAGTCGCTCTAATCTACTTTGAAGATTTGGACTCGTTTCGTCATGCTCCCTCGCTCAGCCATTTTAAATCTCTCTCTCTCCGCAACATGTGATAGTCTCTTGATCTCGCTCGCACACTTTTGTTCTCCAATATTTTATTTTTTCCCTCCGTCTGACTCTCTCCTCCTCCTCGTTTTCACATCTTGTCTCTTGCCTTTTTTCCCTTTTCTCTAATCTTCTCACGCTGACGTTGTCTCCCTTGCTCTTAGACTTCTAATTCTGAAAAACAACCTTTACAGCAGCGGCAAAAACAGTACTGAAAATATATACTCCCATAAAAAATGACTAAAGTTAAAACAAATAAGTACCTGGTTAATAAATTACTCAAAGTAGTTTGTTACCTTAAATTTTTATATTTTTTGGGATGTCATCACGACTGAAATAATGAAAGTAATGCTAACTTTCTGAAGTTGTCTTTGTAAAAGTAGATCAAAGAGTAAAGAGTAGAACTCGTTCCTTAAACACGATACTTTTTTACTCCTTCGTTACCACCCGGCTTTACATGTTGTTTTTGATCCACAGTGAAACACCTGAACAGTCTGGTTACTTTGCAGAGTCTCAGTTGGTCCAACTTATGATTTAGTTTTTTCAAGAGATTGAAGGATGTATTTGTCAAACACTCATATATCTCTACATGTGCGCCATAGCAACTTCGACTGCACGTCTCTGATGAACTGGCCGCTCAGTCACCATAGGGACGATATTGTTAGCTCGTGTTGCTATGAAGCTTCACATATTATTCTGTTTTTGTATGAAACTGATTTAATTGCAGATCAACTCAGCAACTTCATGAAATAACTTCTTTAATATCACAAAGTCGCCTGAAATAAACTTAAACACAGGTTAATGTTTACTCGAGTCTTAATTTGACGCTGTGAAGCAAATCTAATGTACTGGATGTGAATAACGAAATAAATTGTCACTTAAACTGACATAAAAAAATAAAATAGTACAAGCAAAGGTTGTCATTTAAGAAGCCTAAAAACAGTACAAAGTACAAGTTACTTTCAGTTTTAAGTATAGTATCAGTATTTGTTGTTTGTGACAACTACTGAAATTATGAAGTTGGCGTTACGTTATTCAGCAACTTGTTTTGTAATCACAAAGTCACTTGAAATGAACTTAAATACAGGTTTAATGACAGATTTCTTTAGTCTTATTTTGACGTTGTGGAACAAACTTAATGTACCGGATGCCAAACTTTCACTGTAACTCCTCACAGCTGACAGGGTTGCAGTGTCTGTCCTCTGCTGCAGCTAATAACTGCAATGACAGCCCACTGTGGAGCTCATAAAGACCGTTACTGTCACTGCCAGATGCTTGTTGTGTGTTTATAGAGCAGCTGTTAGCGGCTGTATGTTCACTGTCAGCACTGAGATGTGTATGTCGGACTGATGTTTTACAGGCGGAGGTAATAAGCTGTCCTCTAAACGAACATTAACAGGTTCGATGTATGATTTGTGGCGGATGATAATGAGTGGTAATGAACCCTCCTGTCCTGCAGGTGGCGGTACAGGCAGCCAGCAGACCATTCTCCATGAGGAGCAGTGGAAGATGCCGGCTCTGCCAGCACTGCTGCTGTCGATTTATGTCGTCAACCTGCTGCTGACCACGGCACCGCTCTCCTTCAGCCAGGCCAACATCCTCTCTGCTGTCCGGATGGGTGAGTACCGTCGCCATGATGTGGGTTCGAATCTGCTAACACTGAAAACAGAGCTGTTGTTGAGTCTTGATACAGGAACTCTAAACTTTAACTAAATTCTGAACTATTTAGAATTATTGTGCTTCAAATGAGCATAAAAAGTCTACGAGTCTTAAAATAATACAAAGAGGTTTTGTTTCAATTACAAGACAAATAATTAGATTTAAAGACTTAAGCTACTTGAAGGTCCAGTGTGTAACGTTTAAGTGTTTCACAGCCGCCGTAGTTTCTCCTATTTACTGTATCCAAGTGTTTCCAGTGAGCCAACAGCAACATCCTGACTGTGTTTGACCTGAATGAAGCTGAACCTGAATCAGTATCGTTGGTAACTCGCGTTTACCCGTCTACTTCATGTCAAAGTGGCTGCTGTGAAAAAGGTCTGATGACTTGGGGCAGTGGTGGCTCAGGAAATCATGACTTGGGACTTGTTGTCCTTGGCTTGGAACTTGAAATTTGTTGATCTAGATTCAAGACTTGAGGAAGGTTTTAGACGCTGTTATCTGCACCAGGAGCTGGTGTCACTATTTACCCAGAATCCTCCTGTGTCTATAAATAAAAGCCCTCTGTTACCACATAAAATCTCCTGCATCGTGTTGTTTTTGTTTCTCTCTCCACTTGTTTCTCCTCTCACCACCCACCGCCGGCTGTTTGCCATCTTGATTCCTCTCTCACTCTCCTTGCTTTGTTCGCCGTTTTACGAGGCCCTAGAGGCTTCCCTTTGTCTCGCCGCTCCCTCGCTTGCTCGCTGTTTTACATTTCTTCTTCTTCCCTCGCCGTGTTGTTTCCATCCCACGATGGATCATTTGTAGGCGCAAATAAACTCGGCAGAAACCGGATCAGGGAGCTTCTCCGTGACTTCCCTTCACGACTCATGGCCGCTCTGCTCTCGACGCCGCTCACTTCCCGTCCCCACCGCGTCCGCAGAGGAAGATTAACTCCATAGCGGAGGCTGAACATTGGCAGCGAAGGTTCAGCTCGCTCCTCGCAGCAGATAACGTTTCCTTCCTCAGCTCCAAGTTCAAATCCCTGTTGCTTTTATCACACGGGGGCTTCGGCAAAACCGTTGGGCACTTTATTTCAAGCTGCCATGGCAACTGGTTCGCCTGGCGATGTGTAATGGCTCACCTTTCGCTCTCACATTAACGACGGCTGACTGCTCCACTCACACTTACATCTGAAACACGTTTGTTTCACTTATAGAAGTGGAAATAAGAGAAGTCACACGTTCACCCTCACAGACGATGAAAGGACTGAATTCAGCTGCAAAGAGAGGTCTCAAAGAATAAAAATAGATCTTCCAGGTGAAATAAAAAATGACTTTATAATCCTTTAAGATCACATCCTCAGTTTTATTGTTCCCCTATTAAACAACATGTGCCAACAAATTTACTACATTTCTTTGTATTATTGTTATAGTATTATTGTATAAAAACAATCATTGTGTCTTCCTGTAAAACTAAATG